CAGGTTGGTGAGGTCCCAGGCGCTGTAGTCCTCGGCGCGGCAGGGCCTGGGGAAGGACGGCCGGAAGTCCACCTTGACCAGCTCCCACTCGGAGCGGTAGCTGATGTGGCCGAAGATGCTGGAAGCGAAGGGGCAGGAAACCTTACGTGGGCCCGTCCGTCCCCGTGGCCTCAGTTCCCACCTGCACCGGGGCCACCAGGGACTACACTGCCACTTGCTCAGCCTCAGACCCAGACGCCCGGGCCAGGCCCCCCGTGGGCTCAGGGAGCGCCCGCACCCGCCCGCCTGGAATCGGGGCCCTCACTGTGCAACCTGCCTGCGCACCCCTAGCAACCGCCAATAATAACAACAACGGTAACAGTAATAATAAGGCGCCGACTCGAGAGGTGGAACAGGCAGTGGCCCGGAGGCAGCTGGGACTCTAGCTGCCCCTCTCAGCAGCCAGGAGGTCTGGGCAGGGAAAGGGTGGCCCCAAACAGGGACAGACGACGAGTGGCCACCCTGGTGGCTGGGGAGGCCGGGAGGAAGCCGGTGGGAAGATGAGGGGAGAGCGAGGGAAGGGGTCTGGGGTCAGCATTGAGCCACCTCAGAGCAGCGGAGGCCAAGGTGGCCCTCGCACAGCCTCCTGGGGGTCAGCCCGCCCCCCGCCCCGGGCACTCACGTAATGACCAGCGTCTCCTCGCCCGGCTCGCTCAGCAGCCCGTCCACGAACACGGAGGTGTCGGTGAAGTTATAGGTGCTCCACGTGAGGCCCTCGTCCGTGCTGAACCTGCGGACGGGGAGCGTCAGCGTCCGCGGGCAGCAGGGGCCTCCCCGTGCCCAGCTCCGCTGCCTGCCTGGACCCAGCCCTGCCTGTGCCCGGGGACCAGTGCCGCCAGCTGAGGCGGCCAGGAGACCAGCGTGGAGGGAGCCGTGTGCCCCCAGGGCCAGCCCAGCACCCAGGTCCCAACTGGACCCCTGGCTTTGCTCTCTCCTGGGAGGCCAGCAGCAGCCACCTGCCGGCACCAAGTGGCATCCACATCTGCTTAGCAACAACACCAAGAAGTCAGGGTGCTGCCTGGCACCCCTGGATTGCGGCGCCCCCAACGCCTAAGCCCGGCCAGGGCTGCTGGGCCAGTGAGCAACTTACTGCCTCCCAGCGCATCACATCACGGTGCTGCTGGCTCTGCGTGCAGAAAGCTCTTTCAGACTAAAGTGATACTGGCTTCCCGGCAGCTCCCCGACTCTGCCTTCTGGATCCAGAGTTCAGACCTGCCCTCCCTGCCCCACACGCCCTTCAATGTCCAGAGCTGATGGCAAACCCTCTCTCCCTGAGCACAAGCTGTTGGATTCCCTGTCTGGCCCCACCTTCTCTACTTAAATAATTCCTATTGATGCTGAAAAGTCACCTCCTCTGGGAAGCCCTCCTTGCTCCCCTAGACCACAGCGGGGGCCTCTTCTGGGCCCCGGAGCCCCAGGCCTCCCTCGGGGTGCTGCACTGTCACCTCTGTTTCCTTGTCTCCCCACCCCCAGCCCAGGGAGCTGCTTGGGCGGGTGTGCCCAGCTTGCCGCCACCCCCGCTGGTGGGTTGAGTGCCGCTGCCCTGGGCCCCACGGGGAGGGGAACGTTCTGAGGGGCTCCCGGTGGAGAGAAGCCCGCCCGCCCGACGTTACTTGAGGATCTTCAAGGGGATGGAGCTGTCCTTGACGGCCACGATCACGCCGCCGTGGTCCAGGTACAGGATGTGGTGTTCCTCCTCGAACACCTGCAGGGACAGCGGCACCTGAGCGGGCGGGGCCTCGCGGGGGCAGAGTCCGCCCCATGCAGGCTGGGCGACAGTAGAGGCCGCCCCTTGGCCAGGGCCGAGCTGAGGGCTCCCCGTGCCCCGGGCATCACAGGCTTTGCCACACCACGTAGCTAGTCCACGGGGGATGGACGGATGGCGAATGCCAGTTTCTAGACCAGCGAGGGGCGTGAGGAAGGACAGCGCAGGTAGACACTGGGGGTGGGGGGGGGCGCTCTATGAGACACTCGCCAGAAAGGCCGGCGACAGGAAGATGGAGAGAAGGAATTTAGAAAAGCAGTGAGGCCCGGCCGGCGTGGCTCAGTGGTTGAGTATCAACCTGTGAACCAGGAGGTCACAGTTCGATTCCTGGTCAGGGCACAGGTCTGGGTTGTGGGTTCGGTCCCCTATAGGGGGTGTGCAGAAGGCAGCCAATCAGTGGTTCTCTCTCATCATTTATGCTTTTCTCTCTCTCTCTCACTCCCTTCCTCTCTCTGAAGTGAATAAAAAATATATTTTAAAAAAAGAAGAGCAGTTAGGATGCACATCCTCAGTAACAGCAAACCCCTACTTGATGTTAGCCTCAGTGCCAGTGCTGCCTCCTCCAGGAAGCCCTCCTGGTGCCAGGGTACTAATGGGTTCTCCCCAGTTACGCCCCACGGTGCTCACTGCTGCCGAGTCCACGGCCGCAGCTGCAGGGATCAGAGGACTGGATGCCTGGTGTCCTGTGTCCTAACCATTAGCTTGGGATCAGCCTGCTGCCTGAGGCTATGGTAACAGAAACAGAGATTCCTGGATAAGGGAGGTGACAGACAACCCCACACTCATTAGCTTGGGCCTCTGTAAAAGGGGGCTTTGGGGATTCCCAAACTCCCCAGCAGGGTCTCAAGGGTGCTGGCACCCTGGCTGTGGCTGGCTGTGCCCTGGCTAGCCCCAGGCAGCAGGGCGGAGGGGCAGGCGTCCTCAACCCCATTTCTCTTTCCTGTCCCCGGGCACCCTGGCTCCCAGGGCCTCCCTGAACGCTTCCTGGCTGCTGTTTCAATCGCCCCAGGGGGCGCCGTGAACAGCGACACCTGCTGGCCTTTGTAACGCCCTCCTGAGAGCTCTCAGCCCCACCGGGTCACAGGCGGCGTCTGGCCTGAGCGGGTGGCGTCTGGTCTGAGCGCACCCGCTTGTGCCCTTCCCGACCTTTGTCCCACTTGGTCCCCGGCCTCTCCCACCCCAGAGCCCACTCCGCGGTTCTCCTCCCCTGACACCCACACGTGCTCTCGGGGGAGCCCCTCCTCTCCTCCCTGGGCACTCGAGCTCCCTGCACCCCCCCATCATTCGGGAAGGGAACCGCACCCCGAGGGCAGGCCCACACTCGGCAGCTGAGCTGACGGGATGCTCCCGGAACCCTGACATCCCCATTTGAGATCTCAGCCGGGGCCATGCGCGCCGTACACGGGTCCTGGGAGAGAGACCCTGTGCCTGCCCCGGCGCTGAACTAACCGGGCTCCGTGACGGACAGCTGCTGACCTTTAAGGACGCGCAGACACGCGCCACTAGCTCCGTGAGGTAGAAATATTATAAATCGCGTTTGCCCTTTTCAAAATGCCTTGTTTCCTGCATAGTAATAAAAAGCGCCGGCCCCCCATGGAGGCTGCGGCGATGGGGGTGCGCTGGGACCGACATGCCTGTCGGAGGGCCCCCCCCAGGAGAGGGGCTGCGGCTGGGGTGCTCGGGGACGAAAAGGGGCCTAAAACCCGAGCTCTTCCAGCGACGGGAAGGGGACACGCACACCAAGGTCTAGAGCGAGCTCACAAGGGTTTCAAACAGAAAGGGACCCTCCATGAAGGGGGCGGACCCGCAGGCCTCCTTTCTGCTGGAAGTGAGTGGAGGGTGCAGGGGGCCAGGCCCCCTCCGGGCAGAGCGCGGGGTCGGCTACTGAGCCTCCAGCGGCTGCACAGGTGCGTCCACCACCACCTCCCTGGGCTCCTTGTTCCCGAGCTCCACGGGCCGCATAGAGCACAGAGCACAGAGCGTTTCTGCCTCATGCCCTTTCCCCTTCCTGTCTCTCCTCTCAGGCCACATCAGATCCTCACCCGGGATGGCATCCAGGCTCACTACAGCCTCCAGGCTCACCATGGGCCACCCCCCAGGCTCACCACGACCCCCAGGCTCACCACAGTCCCCTAGCCTCACCGCGGCCCCCCAGCCTCACCACGGCCCCCAAGGCTCACTGCAGGCC